ACCAATATTTGTTGTGATAAAGCCGCTTTTACCTTACGCTTTACCTTGAGTCAAGGTAAAAAGTCGTGCGTCCACAAAAAAGGAAAAAAAATTGGCCCCGTATCTGCATGTTACACTGCAAATTTCGTCGAAAAACGATAGTCTTGCGTCTGGAGAGAGTGAACAAAACGTGTTTTTGATGTTCTGCGCAAGAAAATCGGTGAATGGTATTCTGGAGGCGCTGCGATAGAGTGCCTCGAGCGTGAAGCGGAAGCGAACTAGCCCATCAAGTCACGTCACACGTAGTTCATGCGCTTCAATTTTGCCATTCTTGCATGGTCTGTGACAGGCGGCGGTTCGATTCTGCTTTGGCCAGGGAAAAACCTAGCAACTGCCAAGGAGGCCAGGCTAAAATGACCAGCTTCGCTGTTTTGTAGCTCTACATGGCTATGTGTAACCTTCTTGCTTTTATTGTTAGTAGCAGTAGCTGCAGCACACTTATCGTCAAGAACATTTCAATCGTCGAAGTTCGAGCGAGCTAGGCAATACATTATCCAACACTTTGTCCAATGCAAGTTTTTCAGCGCACCATAATATTCTGGTTGTTAGAGCTATATAGAGGAAAACGGAGGTCACCTCGAAACCGTATTATTTTCAACGGCGCTTGTTTTCTGGTTAATGATGGCACGTATGTCAGTAATATGAGCGTGACTTGATGCGTGCACGAAGTCTTACTTTCATTACACTCTGCGCCCAGTAATCCTAAAGAAAGAAAGCAAAAAATAAATAGAAAAGAAGGGCATGCCATTATTGATACCACGAATTTGACTAAAAGAATCAAAACACGTTTGTGTAAGGCTAAACATTTTCAGTGTGCGCGAAATAAAATTTATATAATTTTAGTCTATTGTTCTAAGTCTATTGTTCTATTCATAAAGAGAGCCTAATTGACAGTTCCCCTCTAGCGTGAGTTCACGAGCGCACAGACAGTCCGTGGCCCGATATTTATGACTAGCATACGCTTCTCGGCTTCACCTTGTCTCGAGCAGTCGGCTTTATTTGATTCTATGCAGCTCTTGGGCCCGTATATATTTCATACATGCTTTCTTCGAGGCACCTTGTTCACTAGTTTAACCCTCCCGACGTGTATCTATTATTTCCCTGCATTATGGCTGGCGACTGTAACACCGGACATGCAGGGCCGCAGCTGTGCGCCCTTTACGAACCTTTTCTCGGGAGGCAAGTGTGTGCTTTCATCGACCATTATAAAGTATAATTTTCTTCGCAGGAACTTGAATATTTAGCTAGCTATATAAGCACGTAGGACCCTAGTCTATCACTGGCGCTGCCAAACCTACAGCTTCGTTTGAAATATTCACCGATAATGTTGACGCCAATACCTTTATGACATCTTGTTAAAGTACGCTTTTATTATATGGGCCTAGTTATTGGTCACCATTTTAGCCCCTGTGAGAATTAGCCGTATCTTATTGATAAAGACCCGGTCTTTGTGTCCGCCAGCTTGAAGTAAGCTTGAAGGGAAAGAAGTGAACCATATATTATATATATATATATATATTATATATATATATATATATATATATATATATATATATATATATATATATATATATATATATATATATATAATAAAAACAGCCTCATTCGTTCGTCGAGTTTCACTTGTCGGCTTCTCGTGGCGTATATTCTGGTGTATTTCAAATTTTGCTAGGTAACCTGGTGACGTTTTGATGTAGCAGTTACCTTAAAGTTCATTGCCCGAAAATTAAACGTTTTCTGAAATATTACTTATTCCTCTGTTCCTGGTGCTTAAAGTAACTGAAAGTCACCAAAAAAGTGTTGTTGGAAAATGCGGCAGTGTGTGTACTGGAATGCGGCAAAATATTGCTTGGTTGTAAACACATGGTTTTCTATAGACCACTTTGAATATGGGTTTGAGTGCCGCCATATTGGGCTCTTAACTACTGTTTTTTGCATATTTAACTACTAAATGAACGTGCTACGCATACGCACGATAATGGTTGGGTTGATACGTTTACGATGTTTTGCCGCCCTATTCCCGACGAAATATACGAAACCTACACAACGTCGGCTTAACACCCCAAGATGGTGGCGTCTAGGTGTCTTACAGGAAATGGACTCAATAGCAGCGACTGAGTAGACTTATGTACTAGCAGGTGTACATAGGCGTACTTGCACGTGAACAAAAATGTGTGTGTGGGGGGGGGGGGGGGGGGGGGGGTGCAATGCGATTTTTCTGTTTTTAGATATCTCACAATATTGAGGTAAGCCAGACAGCCTGGCTAACCTCATTTCCTTAAGGCTTCTGGCACGAGTTCAAGAAGTCGCAAAAGGTGCATTTATCGCTTTCTTGGTGTGTGTCTACGCTTTTCACTCACCTGCATAGGACAAAACACGTAAAATATTTTATTTTGATTTAAACTTTTTCGGTGCTGAGCGCTTGAAGGCAAGGTCCGCTGCAATGGACATTATCTCAACGAGTCAATTGAGATAGCTCCCGCTTTTGCAAGCTCCGAGTACTGCACGCAGACTTAACCGCAAAAATCGCTGTCAAGGTCACTGGACGACAATTCGCTCATCCTTGTCCACGAGCACGTGACATATTTGCCGTTAATACGTAACCAGTTCCCACAGGTGGCACATTACTGAGAAGCCGTGCCCCTAGATATCGACACATTTTTTTTAAGGTAGTGGTTATATTAATATATTCGATGCATTCCCAAGCACAACAATACTCGTTTTATGTTTTTCAACATCGGTATTTTCATTTAAATCAATATTCCGAAAATTTTTAAGTCAAGTCAGTACTCTTTAAAAAAAATGGCTCTGGTTTATACAGTTGCATCTTTAACAGTAAGACGTCGTGCTTACGACATGAGGTGTTGTCATCATGACATAACGCGTCTCGCTGTCTCGCCAAGGTGGGAAATCACGCTATAGAAATTTCCGATGCTGCGAAGTATTTTCCGTAGTTCAAAGCAGAAAACTATCACAGACGTATCGGGAGATGGGACGTTACGTTCAGGAAAAGAGGTCAAATGACGATAATTTCTCGCGGTTATGATGGTTCAGATAACAAAATGAGGTCAGCAAAATGAATTTCTTTACTGGGCGAACTTGTTCTCAGTCAAAATAATCAAGGTACTTGCAAAACTCGATGTGTATACCCTCCTCGGTCCCTGGGTAGCCAATTGGGTAGAGTTGTTTTAAAGGCTACAGATTATCACAATGCGATATCTGCGTGTCCAAATTTGTCTTGGCACAATAAGGATGAGTTGCATTCGCGAAGCCCTGAGAAGTGGCGCCGTGTGTCTAGCCATATATTCGCGAAACAAGCGAACGAAAATGACTGATTACTGCACGAGCACTCAGATGCGTCCTCGTGAAAAGTGAGATATTTTTCTTAGCTGTAACGGGAACTACAACATATATAGTACATTCCTTTAGCTTCGGACGCCCTGTATATTATATTGAAAGTAATTTCGGTCTGAAATTTTCGTTGCACTTAATCTTAGAGACTTTGAAAGATCAGGAGTACGCAAGTGGGTACTGCCACATTTTGAGACAGCTGTTCCATTTTTCGGATTCACAATTTTCCTGCGTTTGCTTTTAAGGGCAGGGAGTCAAATAACACAGTTTCCCAAAAGCTTTTTTCATTGGTGCCTTCTTGGCTCGGACGAGTATACAATAACTGCGAGCGCTAACGTCGGTCGTCTGTATTCAGACCATCGTCGAAACGCGGCGCCTTTTATGCATCGGCGCTCGAACCTTCTAGTTCATAGCTGGCTCTTGCGAGAGCTTCCAAATTAACTACTTGCGTTCTGCGACACAATCGCAACAGAGCAATCTCAAACCATCACGGGGCTTCCCAAAGGTTGCGGTGCAGCCTGGGCCGAGTGGTGCCAAGTTACTGAAGCTGTAACCGGAACACATCAATCAAAAAAAAAAAAATCACAGCATATCATCGGGGTGAATGATGATGAGTGGGGCGAAGCTTCTAAGGGTTCTATTAGCCAACCGTGAATCATACACTGGCCGCGTCCATCTGTCCATCCGTTTGTATGTCCCTATGTGTGTGTGTGTGTGTGTGTGTGTGTGTGTGTGTGTGTGTGTGCGTGTGTGTGTGTGTGTGTGCGTGTGTGTGCGTGTGTGTGCGTGTGTGCGTGTGTGTGTGTGTGTGTGTGCGTGTGCGTGCGTGTGCGTGCGTGTGCGTGTGTGTGTGTGTGTGTGTGTCCGTTCGTCCGTCTATCTAGTGAACACTCCAAGTACTGCCATTTTGCATCGCTATATCATATATTCAGCATATACAAGCACCGCCATCCAGCGGACATTTCAACGACTTATATTAAAGGTGGCTACTAAATACTGGATACGCGCGATCCGCCGCTTAAGGAGCTTCGCTCCTAAAAAGTAAGAACACATAGCAATACTATTGATTTAATCAGCAACCGTTGACAAGTCAAGTTCGTCTTACTCTTTTCACAGCACAAATTATTTAGCAAGTAAGCAGGCGTCACTGTCAGATATCGATGCCGCTCTGTTCTCATATGCCTGAGTTATTTCGTCGCATGAAATTGCCATCCTATTTTTTACAACCTAGTCTTGGAAGCATCCCTCGTGTTGTACTTTCGTATCTGCCTGAAATAAGTCTCAAACGAGCGTTCTACCAACTAGGCCAGAAGTCCACCCTTGCACTTCTTTTCCCCGGCTGATATAACACCCAAATCCCTGCCCCCCTCCTAACGTATAAGTATCTGCTCCTCGTCACTATACTTGTCATACACTACACCACATCCCGAATCCTGTAAGCACGTTGTATCAGACTTTTGCACGCACAAATTCCGAACATCGTGAACATCTCGTCTCCTCGTCGGTGATGGTAACGAGCGGTATATTGTTATGGGTGTGCATGCAAACGTTGGTATCAGTGCTTGCCTGAGCAGCTGACCAAATGAGCTCGCTTCTTCTGACCGTTGCAGACACTGGAAGCTCATCTGGCCGGTTTCCGGTTCCTGGTGCTGAGTGACGCGTTCGCCATTCACCGGGGCATGCGCAACACCACCACCAACGACAAAGTGCGCAACGCAGAGAAGTTGCACAACTACCGCATCTTCCTCGGCTTCCGCAAGGCGCTTCAGCAGCGCTACGGCAAGGGCCGGGAGTTCTCGTGATGTCTGCTTCCTTCTCGCTGCCACGCATTCGCAGAAATAAACGCTCGAAAATGCGACCATCTCACTGTAAATAATTGTCGAGACTGAATTCGACCAGAATATATATTTCACTTTTGGCGAGACATGAATGAGCTATATCGCGGCATTACCTTGTTTACACATCGTATAGTACTGTCACTTGCGTAAAGCTTCATAAAATATCAAGGCGAAAGTCTTAGATGAGTAATAAAACGGAAGATTTGATCATTGGAAGCGACCGTCTCATGGTATCGGGTGGTGCAAAAGGTCCTCGCGTGATGACGTCACTAATCGCAAAAATGTGTGACGTTATGTCACCAGTTCTTGGATGACATTACGTGACGTAAACAGGGCGGGAGGCGTGTGTGTATGAAGGCTTCCTACACACTATTAAATCCCCTAAAGTATTGGGGGCTTTACACACGATGCCGTTGTAGCACCCTCCTTCGGGCGGCGAACAAATCCTGAGAGCACGCGAACTCGCGAGAAGAAAATGAAGACGGCGCTTGTGCTGTGAAGCCACAGCTTGTGGTTCTTCTCTGCTTCCTTATACATCGACTGAGAAGAAAAGAAAGACTGCTTTCAGCTCAGGTAAATTCACAAGCCATCCTGGGAGTTTTAGCTTTGCATCTGAGCGTGTGTTGCGCTCCTCTTTCGTTTTCCATTGTCTAACGGTGAAGTACCATACGCAAATGCACGTGTAGCCTGTGACGGCTAAAAACGCCCGTACTCGCAAGATACGGAGTATGGAAAATCGAACACCCAAGTTTCCTCACGTAGCAAAAAAAAAAATGGAAGCCCCACATTCCGCTTGCTTTTCTTAGCAGCTGTTTCTGAGCCTTTGGCAGCGCTGGGCTTTACCAGATTTGGTTGAAGCGGTTTATCTCTTCTGAAATATGTGTGCACTGCACACTCAATAACGAATCTATCTGATTTGTTCCTCGCGAGCGATGCAAAACCTGCAACGGGTAAAGGAAGAATATTTGCCGCAGATTTCGCCAGGTCAAGCGACTGTAAAGAAGGAAGGAATGAAGGAACAAGAGGGGGAGCCCCGCCGCGGTGGTCTAGTGGCTAAGGTACTCGGCTGCTGACCCGCAGGGCGCGGGTTCGAATCCCGGCTGCGGCGGCTGCATTTCCGATGGAGGCGGAAATGTTGTAGGCCCGTGTGCTCAGATTTGGGTGCACGTTAAAGAACCCCAGGTGGTCTAAATTTCCGGAGCCCTCCACTACGGCGTCTCTCATAATCATATAGTGGTTTTGGGACGTTAAACCCCACATATCAATCAATCAATCAACAGGAGGGGGAAGAAAGGTAGGGATGTTAACCAGTCTAAGAGGACTGGTATGCTTAAACCTCCGACGGATTAACGAAGAATATTTGCCGCAGATTCCGCTAGGTCAAGCAACTGTAAAGAAGGAAGGAATGAAGGAACAGGAGGGAAAAGAAAGGCAGGGATGTTAACCAGTATAAGAGGACTGGCATGCTTAATTCAAAGGCGCGAACTAACGAATGCTCCCTATTGTCTCTGTATGCCTTTAGGTTTGCCCGTTTATTAAATGCCGTTATTCATAATTCGCCCATAGCAACAAGCGTACATCGCGATTCTAGGTAAAAGAGTGTCGCGAGCAGAAAGTAGGTGCCCTCCTTTGCGGCGCTCCACGCTTCAGTAACCTCGAATATTTGCCACTGGTGTTCACTGTATGCCGCTTGAGCCTTGACATTAGACCAGATATGTGTGATCGAGCAACAAAGTGGGACAATCATTTGCTCACGCACGGATTGGTCCGCACGCATAGCATGCCTGCACGTCGAGGCTTTTTGATCTCTATAAGGAATGTGATCTGCACACTGGCGGTATAACAGCACATGAAACTAGCTAAAATGATAGGAGTGAGCTCACGCACTGATAGCGCAGCAGCTGCTATGCACAAAAACAAAAAGGGGACCCTTAAAATACTTCAACGTGATAGCGCTATTCTGTTGTGCTTACCGAGTTCAAAATGGATTGTCAGTGAAACTTTCGCATACGGCTGCATTCTGTACAGCGAGTCGCATGTTTTAAACCACGGGCAAGTGTGCATGTGAAATCTCTTTGAACCTGCTATCACCCACTACATGACCATAGGGTAAAACGCGCAGAAATGTTTGTGTCTTTTGTAGCGGGTGGCCAGCTTTAAACCATGAATTCATGATAATCGCATGTTCCGCTGGCCAATTGCAATGTGCGCTTGTACCGCGCATTATTAGTGTGATATAAGATGTCCCATTGTGAACATATATACAGGACGAGTGTTTTTCTAAAGCATGCAAGTTCAAGCAGATGAAGTTATTTTAAACCTGCATTTCCAAGCAGATGAAGTTATTTGGCTGTATTTCCTAGCAGAGGCGTGACTGTGTGGTAGAACACTTGCATGCATGTACGCAAACGACCCGGGCTCGATCTGCTTTTACACCCAGTATTTAATATTTTTTATTTTATATCTATCTTTATCGATTTTTCAATCACGCACAAGATGATTTTCCGCTCACAACCGATGATGCCGACACCAGAATTTCTGCGAAACGAGCTCTTTAACGCTTTCACGTTAAAAAAAAACGGTTGATTCACGCACCTTGGGAATGGGTGTTACGCGAAGCATGCAGAGGGAAGGTGACTGAGGTTTTTTACGCGCAGACGTGTGTAAACAGTCGCATGTTTACTGTTGTGGGACGACACAAACAGCAACATAGGCATTAGCAAGCACCAGAAGTGGTAAGCTGACATGTGTATAGCACTTGTGCCAGCGAGGATGGCAGCCCTGGGCTCTATATACTAGATCAATGAGCTTCAGTGGATGGTGCTTCAATTGTCGTTAACCCGAGGTTACGGCTGTATTATAGGAGTAAATATGCGCTGTTTATAAGACTGGATAGCCAGAACTGCCACCGCAATTGACGTTTCACGAACATTACGGCCTACTTGAAAAAAAAGCACACGTGTACTTTAAAAGCAGAGACCTGACATGACTTTGCGGTAGAATACTTGATTGCCTCGTAGAATGCTGGAGTTAGATTGCTGCTGGGACCATGATACTTATTTTATGCGTTCGTTGGGCCAAGGCTGCCAATGCCAGCTTTTAGAGGCAAGGCTCCTTAGGGCCATCCGTCTGTCCGCGCATCCATCCGTGTTCCTACCTGCATACGTCCACCTGTCCGACCGTGCGTCCATCCGTCCATCTGTCCCTCCTTCATGCTAGTCTGCGACTTCAGCGTAGATATTATGAACCTTGGGGCCTATAGCTTCACATACTCGTCATCATTCACTTCGTCGAAGTGCACTGATTTCTCTTAAAGCTCTCGAATGAAAATTACCAATTTATGTTCGCGCCGTCCCTTGGTTGATATGAATTGTCAATCACCGTCAGTGTATTGCGCTTAACTACAATTGATCTTAACCCGTCGTGACAGCTGCATCGCAGGGGTGCATGTATAATGTTTATAAATCTAGATAGCTATCACAGCATCCCCAATTGACGCTTCACGAACATTACGATCTATTAAAAAAGCTGTTGCGAAGCTGGTGGGGCCCTGGGGTAAAATATTTGGTTGCCACGCAGAAAGCTGTGGTTCGATTCGTGCTGGGATCCTGACTTTTTTTTTTACATAATATTCGTCGGGTCAACGCAGCTGATGACAGTTTTTACATGTGTGTTCTCGCCGTTCATGGGTAGATATGAAGATATCACCTGTGGCACATACCCGCATACCAATGGCGCATACCCGCCCTTGGGTATGTGTCACTATCTGGCGGAATGTGTTTGACGACGCACGTGACGGTATTATTCATGTTATGACCAGCGAGTCACATTCGTCAAACCATCATTGCTCTTCCATGCTAATTTTGGTTTACCCCGAGTTAAGTTGTTAATCCCGAGTGCACCCAGACGTAGGTTGCTAGACAGACAGACAGACAGACAGACAGACAGACAGACAGACAGACAGACAGACAGACAGACAGACAGACAGACAGACGTACGGACGGACGGACGAACGAACAGACGAATCGACGGACGGACGGACGAACAGACGAATCGACGGACGGACGAACGGACGGACAGACGGACGGACGAATCGACGGACGGACGGACGGACGAATCGACGGACGGACGGACGGACGGATGAATCGACGGACGGACGAATGGACGGACGAACGGACGAATCGACGGACGAACGGACGGACGAACGGACGGACGAACAGACGAACAGACGGACGAACAGACGAATAGACGGACGAACAGACGAATAGACGGGCGAACAGACGAATAGACGGATTGACAGACGAATAGACGGACGAACAGACGAATAGACGGATTGACAGACGGATAGATGGATATATAAAAAACCGATTATAAGCAGCTCTGGTGAAGACATTGACGCTGACATTTGTCTTAACCAGTGTTGAATATTATTTAGATTAGATCGTTCTTCAGCTTGGAAAACAAATTCAGAGTTGTTGTTTTTTTCATCTAAGTAAAGGCGGGTGTTTTTATAAAAGCATGCGTGGCAGTTTCATCGCACCTATAAATATCATATCGTGCGCCGCAGGAAGTTCCTTCATTGTGAGAAAATACGCATAAGTCTTCTCAAATGCGAGCCCCGAAGCCAGAGACCACGTAAGAGCATGCTGCTGACTTGGGCCCGGTACATATATGCTTCCTTAGATTGCATATTTTGGCTGAAGCAAAGAGCCACAATGGGGGAGGGGTAGTTATTCTTTGTTTGGGAAAAGGTAGAAATGTGATTGTGCATCCCGCAACTGTCTCACACCAAGAACACCTCGGCAGTGGTGCACTAGCAGAAGGAAATAGGAGTAAAATAATAGAGGGGAGGTGAGGGAGGGTTGATTAAAAAATCACAGCATAACGACGAGGTGAATTATGACGAGTGGGGCGAAGCGGACAGACGGACGGATGGATGGACAAACGAACGCACAGACAGATGCACGGACGGAGGCACGGACGGACGGACGGATGGATGGACGCACGGGCGAACGAACGGGCGGATGGACGGATGGATGGACGGATGGATGGACGCAATGAATCACGAACGGACTGACGGACGCTTCACCCCACTCA